GTGGGCAGTATGCAAAAATGTGCATTTCTAGAGGTTTAAACCTGTAACCCCCAAAGTAGATGTAATGATGTAAACATACTTTACCTCCATAAACATATTTTGGGGAAAACCCCCTGCTAATTTCTTATTTATTGTGGCTTGAGAGGGTTACTAAGTAACATGTCCCCCACCCAAAATTGGAACCAGTTGAGAGTAAGCTTGCTTATACTTCAATCATTATTGGATGAACTTACTCCACTGTAGGTACACCTAAGCAGTCTCAGCTTTTCTTGGTAGAGATGAGAGAGGTGAGGGATGGCATGATGAGCAAAAAATGGCATTGCAGAGAAGAGCAGAGAATTTGTGCAGTGGCTTAGGGTAAAGAAATATGAGTGATTGGATGGTGGGGGTAGTATGATAACCATCTCAAGAGGTTTGAGGGTATTCCCTGAAATCACATACATTGTTGTAAACCAATGTTATCTCAATAAAGGAAAAGAACACTATTTAGCCATAAGGAAAATGAAGTTAATGGAAATATGTACTATACCATTCCCTTTCTGGTTAATATTAATTGGGATATTGTTTTACTGCAGGTAACAGAAAACATGACTCCTGATTGAAGCCAGACCCCCTAAGTTGTCAAACCCATTCTGTTGCAGTTTACCACAAAGCCCCACTGAGGCCAACTCTGACCAGAGTGCCTCAGAGCCCTCCAGTCTTGGCCCTGCCCTGACCACAGTGCAGGTCTGGTTTAGGCTGGGACCCAGCTTTTCCCTTTAATATCTGGCTCAAGTTTGCTAAATGGATCAATTAGATGTGCAAGTTCAAGCTAAATGGAGCAAGATTCCAGTGCCAAAGGGGCTTCTAATGTTTACTATTGATATCCTACTACAGTGAGAATGGACCAACATGGGATTAAAAATGGACTTGAAAATGGGCCAATTTGATTGGAGTTTGACCAGCACCAATCAAACAGCCGGGACTGTATTCCTGTACCCCTTGTCTCCTAGTATTCATTTATGAAGTACAACCTCCTTATAGGTCAGGTTGGACACACTGGTGCTGATTAACTTGCACCAGTCAAATAACCGGAATTGTGAATAGGCCAACGTGATTGGAACTCCCATGGGTGCCAATTAACTAAAAAGGACCAATAAGTTTCAAAAGATGGGTACTGTGAATAGCATAGAAGCAAACTCCAGCCAACTTTGAGACAGATTCGTCCTGTCTTGGGAAGATCTTCATAGAGCTATAACGCTGATACTTGTTCTTTGGCACTACATCTTCACAGGTTGAACTCAGACTTTGCCTCAACTAAACCTGCTGAATGACACCATTGACCCTATGTATCATATTCTTCTCTTAAGAATGATGTTCTAAAAGGATTTTTCTGGCCTTGCATTGAAAACTTTTCAATACAATCACCATTTATTGTTTGTGTTTGGTCAGTCTTTTTGCTGTTTGCTAGGGTTAACAGGATGGTTAGTGTGCCTTCAGAAAGCTGACAAGTCTTCCAGAAGAGATACAAAATATGCAGCAAATGATTGTAATACACCAGGGGTGATTGGTTGTCTCAGCAGTAGAGAAAGCAAGTTGGGGAACAAATGGGTTAGAGGAGACTGAGGAAGAAATACTTGAACTGGATTTTGAAGGATCAGTTGGAGGGAGTTGACTTGT